CCCTACAGAATATACCCAGACATGGGAGCAAAAGAGCAGCTTCCCCATTTCCAAAAAGTTTCAGTCTGTATTTGGAGAATTGCTTAACAAGGTGACAGAACAGTTCAGTCTCTAAGGCTGCACATTAACATCCTAAATTAAAATCAGACGGGGAGCCCACACACATCACACATGATCACCTCACCTTCCCCCATTTGAACACTGACGTGCTTCAAATGAAATACAGATGTTAAGGGAGTAGATGTTTTCTCTCAGTGCTGCTGAGACACACAAACTGACGCTTTACTGTTCCAGTTCTGCTGTCGCGTCCCTTTCTCTTCTGTCAATGTTCTTCAGCAGAAGAGAGAACTGATACCTTACAATGCAAATTCAGTGCATTTTTCTGTGAAAGCCCACGGTGCTACTAAGAAAGGTAATACAAGATTTCTAAATATTTTCCCTGAGGCCAGAGACATTTTACCTGCTCATCAATTTTTCGCTGTAGTTGCATGATCTTGTTCTCCAAGCCGATGTGAAGCTTCTTGTAGCGTTCTACAGACCGGGCCTCTATCTTCAGTTTCTTCAGCTCCCTCTTGGCCATCATGCGCCGGTAACAGCATTGCAAGTAAACAATTGCCTTCAAGGTCCTACAGTAGTGCACTCGAGCCAGCCAACCTCTTACATGTTTCTGAATAATAATAGACTTGTGCTCCCGAAGCATCTACAGTTAAGAAAAAACATCACAAGGGGTATTAGAGTTGCCAACTACACCTGCTCAGTTAAACAGACTCCATAATGAGAGGTGTAAACACGGTGTACACATAGAGACACCCTAGCCTGAAAAGAGAAACTTCTGGTGAAGAGTAACAAGAAGTGAATATGGAATTAATTTAAGAAAAAAAGAACAGGAAAAGAAGACAGGAATAAGGAAGATGACACGGAATAAAATGAAAAGGAACCAGAAGGGAAAACATGGAAAGAAAGAACTGGAGGTACACTGAAGAACCAGGCATTCCTTTGTGTTGACGTCAGATCCAAGCTAATTACAAAAATACATGGTACCTGTTGGCAAGATTACAAATACAGTCCTTTTTTTTTTCCCCTGCATCTTTTATCTTGAAACATCTTAGAATCATTAACTATATGCTGCATAGGATTCATCAATACAAAGTGTAAAATTACCACACTTGATATGCAGTGCAGGTAGTACACACTAGAACCTAGAGTAAACTGTAGCAGCTGTTAAAAACAGCAGCCATAGTCTAGCTAACCAAACTACAAGTTCCAGTCAGTTTTCCTTTTTTTGACACACCAGCATCGAAAAATCTCCATTTATTGTAATGACAAATTATATATTATAATAAATCCAACTTACTTCATGACAGAAATTTCAACCATAGTTTTGAGGTATGAAAAAAAAACCAAAAAACAATTTTTAAAACTAATTTTTAATGAAAAGCAGTGAAGAATGCCAGCAACCTTCATCAGTGTGTTAGCCAGAGGCTTCCACTAGGAAGAGTATACTACTTGTTTTTTGGATCCTTCACCCACTGATTCAATCACAGATCCCCCAGGTCTGGAGCACCTGAATTCCAGCAGACCACAGCTATGCTTGGAGAGGCCCAAACCCACAAGGCTTCCAGGACTCTCAGAACTCTAGAGTTCACTTCATAAAGCTTCTGCAGATTAAACAGTTTATTCTAAAGAACAAAACTATTTAAGATTTTATGTTACTTCTTGGATTTGATAGTTTAAAGATCATATGCAGTTCACATTCTTACACTAATTTACCACAAAGCAGATAAGACAAACTAGTAGGGTAACAACAATTTTATTTTCTTTTATACTTCTTAGCAAATGAACTCAAATGTGTTAGAAGTGTTGCATTTCCAGATCAATGAATTTAAAAGGTTCATCGGCAAAGTGGCAAGATTATAAGATACATAAACTTTCCCCCTTAGCATTTATTTCTGAAAAGCAAAAAAAGAGACCTGACATACCAGCACTTGGTTAAATAGCACACTGAGGTAAGGAAATAGTGCTCTCAACAGTACAGCAAGGTCAAAAGCCAAAGTCCTTCTGACTGCTTGTCATGCAGTTGCCATTCCTGCCTCCTTCTTACACGTTTCCTGGAATAGTCCTTCAGGTTACCTGTGTGTGCCCGAGCAGCTTGAATACAACTAGCTTTCAACAGAATTTTCACCTCAAGTTTGAAAGCAACAAGTCCCATAAAATACCTCCATCGTGCAGGGATGGTCCTCATCTGCCAGTGAATTCTCACACTCATGCAATCCAGTGAGGCAACAGACCACTCCAACATAAGGTGAGAGTATCAGAGAAGTTACTTAATTTACGAGAAAAGCTTTTGCAAAAGCTGTGGAGGAACTAAACTCCTTGTTAAGCTGAGAAGCACACTGCAGTGTCTCGGGCAGAAGCTTTCCCCAGGATGTGCGAGATAGATGATTCAACCATTTTAAATTCCTTGTATTAGTCATGTGACTGCAACACATGCCCTCTCTTCTAACAACAACAACAGGTACCTTTCACAATCCTAACGAACAACAAGTGTACCGTATATTACTTAGAGTCACAGCTCAGCCCAACATGCTGTCATAGGGCAGCCTTTCGGTTTCACTCATTTGCAGGTATCATGAACTTCAGAACAACCGTGTTTTCCTCCCCATGGCACGCAGAGCCTGTGCTTCTCTCTCTGGCCATCCCTGTATCTCAGCTTTAATAAAATTCCACCTTTGGAGGACAACATATACACAGCACACCGCGTTTTACTGCGGTAAACAATTCGCTGCTCGAGGGGGATACTCCCTGACAGGCAAGTCTGACCACCCGTTACAGGGATCCCTCCAGAAATCCACCATCTCTATTAAAAGGGAATACAACAGGATTATAAAACCCTGTGCTACAGGACAGATGCAGTGTCTTATCACTCAAGCGACTAACTTCAGGCATACAGAATTGTCTCCCATTTTCCTAAGGATGTCTTTTAGTCCACGTATTGCTGTGACCCATGTCTCACTTTGTCACATCGGTCAGATCACTGTTAAAAATGTATCATATAATCTCACAACATAAAATGTGGTTTGTAATAATGAAAATGCTAAGAATTCCAATGAAAAGGCAAGTCGATACCCGCACAAAAGAACAGCCGAGTCAAGCACAGGGATCTTACTACTTAGAAATTCTTATCAAGGATTAATTGTTTTCAAAGTTTCTGGTTAGTGTATGTTAAAACACTAATTTAGACACATTCACATGTGACTCTGCAGGCAACTTTAATACAAATGAAAAGTATACAGAAACTTCAAATATAGAAGAGAAACACATGGAACAAGCACTAGTTGGCTTTTGGTTATATGCTGCTTAGGGAAAAAATATAACTCTTTTGGCTAACTTTTCAGTGAAATACAGGCTGAGTTTTGAGCCTACTTAAAACAATTCATGTAAACAAAAGTGCCATGAAACATGTTGGCATTTCGTAGTCCAATCATATGAATCCTAATTCTGTTTCGAGCCCTGTAACCACTGAAAAGCAAATTCTAATCTCTCAATAGAGCTTTTATTTTTTAATCAAGCATAATGAGGAAAATATTATCAATATCACTAGGACAGTGTTATATCAATTTCTTTCCAAAGAGCCCCCAACATCAGTATATTAAAAAAACAACACACACACCCCCCCTTTAGTTTTAATCTCCTATTTTTGTGGGTATCTCTATGCTAACATTAATCTCCTTCAATATATTCCATCAGCCATTTCAGAATCACTGAAATTAGGGATGGCATAGGAATAGTAGTGCATCAGATATGTATACTGACGTGAGCAATACCGATTTGGACTCATGGAGGCACATTCACACAAGGCCATTTTCAGTATTTATTGTAAGTGCCTCGACATTCTATATAACAAATGAAAAAGTTTTCTCAAGAGAAATGCTGTAAATCCCTGTTAGATTCTCCACTGACTGCACTAGAAGTCCAGGTACATCCATATTAGATGACAAAATGAATATCGCTAAAATGACAACTTCATTGATTGCAGTATCAGGTCTTTCTAATTTCCAGGTGCTGTCTTCAATCCATGCTGTGATATTTTGTTTGCGCATTATGCGTAACAGCACACACACGAACGATTCAGATTCCCAAGGGGACACCACAGAAAAGCTTTGTCCCGAAGGTATGTGGAAATAAAGCTAGAGTGAAGAAGTAAAACATTACGATTTCTTACCATTTGGTACTTGCATCTGGCCATGTAACCTCTTAAGAGAGCCTGAAGAGCAATAGTAGCAGCTCGCATGCACTGGTATCGTTTGTGGACCACATACATGCGCTGAAACTTCTGAATAGTGATGGCAGCCCGTGTTCTCCGCAAGAACTTGGCATAGCTAAGGAAGAAGAAGATTACAAATAATACTTGTAATTATTTTGCAGAGCCTGAATTCTAGATTTTTTTTACATCTTGTAATTTTACCCGCTTTCTCAGGAGCTACGTTTTCTACTTCAGTTTCTTCCTAATGTTGCCAGTGACACAGCGTATTTACTTGCTATTCTACTGTACGGCAGTACAACAGACCGACAAATTAACAGAAGCCTTGTAAGGTTTTACAGGGAGACGTTTTCACTTCCTCTGAGAGCTATAGAACTAACAAAATAAACTCATCTTAATTCCTCATCGCCTTTTCTCCAGCTTTAAAGCATTTCCACTATGCCACCTACCGGGTCTCTTCTCTTAACCTCAAACTGTAGAAAATGTTTACTTGTCCTCTCAGCAAGAATTACAAAACATCTTGACATAAGCCTCTTTCCGAAGGTTGATTCTTACAGTCTTCATAACCACCTTGTCTTTGAACAATACCACCTGCATTCCTACCCTTTCCTCTGGCCCATCCATGGCCATCCCTCTGAAGTCAATCCAAACAAATGACTCTGGTTATCTCCTTTACAGCTGTACCCTGGATGAGGAATGGCTTCTCCAGCAGGACAGACCGACCCAGCTGGGAGGGCACATGGAAACTGGGCAATAAGGACTCAGCCAAGAGTCCTGCTTTACCTCACCTGCAAGATACCTCCTAGTACTACTTGTACTCTGCTCCCACTAACAACATACTGTCCTAAGCATCATACAGCCAGTGTGCTACTGTCCTCTCAAGGAAGGTCATAAACAGGCAGGACAGACACACTCATTATATTCAATTTCCTTCATTTCCCTGGAAAATCATTTCCTCTCAGCCAGTATAGGAAGGAGAGAACAAATGTATCACATTTAAATGTCCTACTTAAAGGGATTTGAATTGAGGCTAGTGTGGGTTTTCCCACGAGCATTGCTTACCATCGTGCTTGGTACCCTCTGACATATCTCTGAATGGTGATGGCAGCCTTCCTCATACGCACGTACTTCTTTCGCATCAGCCAGCCTCGGATTGTCTTTTGGATGCGGATACAGGCAGCTCTCAACTTATCTGCCCTTATTTTTTCCAGATAGGCTACTTGACCAGCCCGGAAAAATATTTTTGTCTTCCCAAACTGGTACTTATCCTTGTCCTATTTTCAGAGGTAAAAAGAGGATCAGTTACAGTATTAAATGTTAGTGGATTAAAAAAAAAAGGCTCGAAGGGCTAAATGAAAGTACAGTTAGTAAAGAGGTAAAATTATGTGTGTAATATTTCACGTAAACCTAGACTTAGATTAAGTAGTGGAGAAGAGTATTTTCTCTATATGATTCTGTTAACAAATTAATATAATAAAGCCAAGCATGGCCTAAAGAAGTAATGTGAGATTTTTGCTGAGACAAGAATGCCATAAAGATTGTAAGAGATGTGGAAGGCTACAGGAGGTGATGAAGGGGCCCAGAGGATGAAAGCAATACAGGCAATGGACAGTTTCCTGCTTGAATTGTAGATGACCCCTCTGGAACGGTCCATCTTCAACCATATTACGCAGTACAAAAAAAACCAGCTGGGGCTTCAAACATTTATGCGTCGTTTACTGCATCAGGACTAAGCCAGAACAAAGCATCTCACTGCTGCTCAAACACATCTGAAATTTCAGAATTAAACCAGAAAGAGAATAATATTCTATGTCTATAGGCTGTAGTACTCTTTGGAGGGAAAAAATGCAAATATACAAAGGTACACTGAAAGAAATTAATTTTGTTGACTGTTTGATGTCAAGTTAAAAGGAACAGCAGTCAAAGAGCTACAGCTTAGGATACATTTAACATTACACATTAACACTATAAATACAGACACATGCATATAAACCAAAAGATTTTAGTTAAGTCCACCCAATGACACAGAATTTGAAAAGCTGAGCCCCAACCTGCCTGCACTGTGTAGGTTTTTTTGTTTCCATAAACCTACTAACATTGGCATTGCACTTCAGCAATGTAAACTTTGTTGCTTTTATATCTTCAATAAACTTTTTCTCTTTCTCTTCCTAACTGATACTCCTGAGTAAGTCTCAGTTAACCACCTTCTACTGAGAACTGGCTGGAACAGTCTCTTTGGAGCCTGCCTGCACTCCGCTGTTCATCAGTCCTTAAGATATTCCAAGAAACAGATCAGTTCCAGTGCAACACTGGTGGTGCAGATGGCATAGCCTGGGAATGTAGGCCCACAACTGGAGGTAGGAGGCAAAGCAAGAGGCTGCTGAGGTATAAGGACAGCCACGGTGCTAAGCAGAGAGAAATATCATGAGGATGAAAGGAGTGAAAAACGTGGCCAGCATAAGAGCTGGGAGGAGCAGTGTGAAAGACACAAACATATACAGACACCTCCACATTAGAAAACCTCCAGATAACTATACCTCACTTAAGGTGTGTTAATACATCCTTATTAGGATGCATTAACATCTTAATGCTAATAGAGGCAAGGTAAGGCTCACCCTCAACCCGCCCACGCTTACAAACACCGTCTTCCTTTCCTGTGATACACTGGGAAATTCTACAGTTCCTGTGCTAATATTGGTGGTTTAGTACTTTGTAGAAGTACTAAAGCGGTGTGGCTACGAGGGACTAAGGGATGCTTTCTTTATTCCTTCAAATTCCAAATGCTCTCAGCACTAAGTCTAGTACCAGAATCAGCTTCTCCAGGACATTTTTACACGTCTGCTTTCGGTCACTAAGGACATCTCTCTGCTTCATCAGAACACGGTAACGGCTGAAGAACTCTTGGTATGTCCACCTGTCCCAAAAACAGAGACAGTGTCAGTCCCAACAATGAATAATTCTCTTAAAAAGAAGAATTGAAGTTGAAAGCAATCTAAAAAGTGGCAAACACACCTGGAAGGGAAGCCAGCTGCACTGATTCGGATGGTCTCCAGGACACCACAAGCTCTCAGCTGCTGCACGGCCCGCTTTTCATCGAACCTACATAGGAATAAAAAGAGCCTGTGGGCATGGGGCTAGTTTTGCATTACATGGAACGCCTGGCCCTGCGCACACGCAGGGCAGGAGTGGCACGGAGCGGGAGCAGGGATGTGATGGATGGTTAACAAGTCCAGCTAGTGCTTCTGCGACTCAGTGGTAACAGAGGACAGCCTGACAGGGGAACTGCCCAAGCCCGTCAGCTGCTGCAAGCTGCTCATCCTGTGCTGCTTCCCTCTGGCCTGCCAATAGCCATGGGAGTCTCTGTGTGCCCAGATTTCAAGCAGATGTTTGAGAAAAGCTCTAAGCAAGTTCATATATGAAAAAAAGGTAAGGAGTAAGATGCTGGAATCTGCAAAAGCAAATTCCAGCAAATGTCAAATGAACTCAAGGAGCACAAACTGCCAGTCACATTTAGAGCAGCTAGCAATGAAAATGCTGGGGGTTTTTTTCATATATCACCCTAAACCAAAAAAAAAGCATCAGGAAGTATTTCTCCCTCTATTCATCACAACACATCTCCTGCTCTAAAGTACACGTACACAGGAACAGTGAGTGCATAACAAGAGAAAGGAGACACACCACTCCTGAGCGAGCAAGGTTTAAGCAGAACCTTGATCCTCCGAGGCCTTGGGCAATTCCCTCCCATGCACATGCTACACGAACCATATGTGAACCAGCTTACGTGAACGGAAACTTGAAGTCGTTAGGCTTAATACAGCGCACGTAGTGTGGAGTTGTAGCGTTCAGGGTTTCCATCAGCAGATGGAGAGAGTTTCGAAACTTTTTGAAAAAGGAAAAGGGAAAAATATCAGGGAATAGCCTCAATAAGCCCAGTAATGTTTGAGATAATCTCAGGAAGTGGACCTAGGGATATTTATTTATTTGTAAAAATAAACACCAGCTTGTTTTTGTTATGGCAATAGATTTTAGTTTCAGGTACCATCTTTGGGTGAATTATGTTGCAGACAGACTTCTGAATGTTAGGCTTTACAGGAGTAAAACTCCCATACCAGAATTTGAGAAATTAGAAAACCACAGGATAGACTGAGTTATTTTCAGATTTGACTGTCTCATCTACCCTAGTCTTCATCTAATCCATCTCTTCATGACTAAACCTCATGGCATATTACTAAATAGCCACTTAATTTTAAATAAATTTTAAATCAAATTTAAAATTGAGTGGTAAAAAAAAAGTATCAATTTCTTCAGCTCTACTCATCCCTATGTCAGACCTACTGAAAACAACTTTGAAAGTCCGATATCCAAGAGTTTTAAGGAGGTTCACTTTTAAAGAAGTATCAAGACCACAAATATCTAACATACTGCAGTATATCCTTCTAACCACAGAATACCCCAATAGGTAAAGAAAACAATGAAAACATGTCTTAGATGTTTTAAAAGTATTGGGATATATCTCCCTTTTTCTGTTGAGCTCATGATTTTAAGCCAGCCTCTATTTCTACAGAGTACATGGTAAAAAGCACTTCTGTATTAGCTTTCTTTAAAATTTATAAATGAATGTATGTGGTTGATTGATAGTAGTAGTATGAGAGTACCCCTAACACTTCAACTCATTGTTTCAGTCTGACAACAAAACTGTTCAGCCTCTACCAGCCTCAGGATACTGTTTGTTTGCAAAATCAGAATTGAAGTTCAAATTGAAAAGATAACTGGGCAGGGATTCTCCTGCATGAACTGCAGAAGATTGGAATTTGCAGCCTGTACCATGAACACATGCCAAGCAGATTTGCATTCTGTACAGTAGCATGAATAACCACTTATTCCCACCCATAGTTTGACATAGCCTGCTTGGGGAAGGTTATAGAGAAATTACGAATATCCACATCAAACATTCTCCGAATTCCTTGATTCTCACTTAAGCAGTGTGACTAGCTCATGACACTGCACAGACACTGAGCTAACATCTTTGTTAGGGTATCGACAACCACCCAAGACAGTGGACAAAGTCCAGGCATTTTTTGGTGATTTTATCAGAACTCTGAGCACCAGAGAGATGTGGCTGGTTCATCTTCAAGAATTGGCAGGGGACACTGATACAAAGACCTTACACTCGCTGGAGCTAATTTATATTCCAGGCTGTCCTACAGTAACATAAAAAGAGTTATCCACACAGACCCTCTGGAAGCCCCAGGCAAAAGAATGCCACTACTCACTAGCAAAGTGGTACAGGTTGGCAAGTAGATAAAAAATGAGTACTAAACTGCCAAAAAAGGTCCCTTTGGCTCCTATACATAGTCTGAGGGACACTCTGTCATATATAAAGCACTGACTGGGGACATAACCATCTTGATAAAACACCTGTTAAATCTGCTGAGTGGAAAGTAACAAAGAAGTGAGTTCTTCAGCCATACTGATCTGCATACTTCTAATTTAATTCTGGCACATACACATAGGTATTTTATGTTTAAGCCATTAATAACTGGAACCAAGTGTTCTATGGACTGAACTCCTGCTTTTGATTTGAGTCAGACCACATGGCACACAATCAAAAAGCCCCAGTATAAGATTTTCTAAGCTTCTCAGCATCCAGCATGTTAAATCCATTTTGAAAAGACCTGAGTTTTGGTTTTGGCACCAATAAGAACTGAGGTCCCCGAAGTTGTGGCTCAAATGTATTAGCAATTAGGATATATTTTCTCCAAACTGTAAGTCATAATCAGCTGCACCTGTCTCAAAATCACAAGGGATCCCAAGAAGCACCAGCACACCTTGGGACCTATGAGACAGAGGGAGGTAGAGAGAGAGATTATTTAATAGAGCCGCTGCTTCAAACTCACCTGATGTCCCACAGTTTTCTTATGCTCCTTGCTGGCTTGACCTGGCCTGGCCTTGGCTGGTTTTACAGCCGTTCGAGACAAAGGCACACGCCCTGAAGGGGTCGCTGACGTGGGACTGAGGACCTTCTCCTCATCCTGGAATAACTCTGGTAGCAGTTTAAACTGGTATAACAGCAGAAAAAATACAGAGGGTAAGAATCCAGCAAGTGATTGTACCCATTTGTGCTTAAGGTAGTTAGAATCCAGGCTTAGTTTTTGTAAGCGCTGAGTTCTTGTTGAACTCCACATGGGGACAAATGCAAAAAAGCATTCAAGCCAGTAGTATACTGAGTGGGCTATGATTTAGCACTAAAAATTTTGTGGGTTTGATCAGTGAGTCTCCTTCTGAAGATAAAATTCTGATTTGAGTTTTTTTCATAGAGCAAGCAATGGCTTCCATGTGAATTGACAGCAGCTTCATAAAGTACCAACTGCAATTATATATGGCTGCTTTGATCTAAGAAGGAAACAACAGGGTCCTCTCGTATTCCAGTGGTGCATCAGACTCTTTCTCCTTTGTGGTTGAGAAATATCTAGGACACTGAATAACCCAGCAGGCAACTAAGAATATTCCTGCTTTATCACTCTAAATTGAAATAATCCACTTAAAAGAGGAACCATCAACTCAAAAAAAAACATTAGCCAAATTTATCTGACCAAAGATCTACTCTCAGGCCAGTGGGAGTGGAATGAAAACCAGAAACATTTTTCCAAATATCACTCAGGGCTTCCAGTTCCCTTTCTCTAATGGCTACAAAATACACCCATATATAATAGCTGCTTTGAAGTAACTTATAACTAAAAATAACACCACCAGGTCTTTCTACTGACAACTATAGCACTTCAGAAGTATTACAAGAGTAAGAAAATCTGAACTTCTCTACCTGTCAATGAATAATCTTTTATCTAGCATCTGTGCATTTTCTCCCAAGAGATAGGAGCATTCAATTCTCAGTACTAGAAAGTGCTTGGGCTAAGTACAACCTAAAAAATAAAAAAATTGGTTTTGCCTTATAAAACTTGGTGAGCATGCACGATAACCAATGAAACATGCTGCGCAACAAAATGGTACTTGTGCTCTGTGGTTGTGCCAGATGGGCTAGCAGAAGGCATCAAAGCATCCAGCACAGCATTCCAGCATAATATAATGACTATGAATGCTACAAACGTATCCTAAATTCCTGAACTACGCAATGGAGTATCAAACCTTAGCCTTATCACCTGACTCTGCTAGAGTAGGAGCACGATCTCCTTAAGATTACCTCTGTAGTTAGCGGAAGAATGACACTTCCAGAGGGGTATTTAGCCTGTCCCTTCCACTGACTCGACAAAGAGTTCAGGATGATTGGGCCACCACCACCTCATTCAGCTGCCCACAGTCAGAGACGAGTCGGTATGCACAGTCTTTTCATCACATACAGAAATGTATTTGAATGAAGCATGCTTTGTCTGAAACTCCTGATGCTCTCACACACCAGGGGCAGAGGTGGGAAGGGGGTCCCCACTGTCGGGATCGCAGATGGGTGAAGCTTTTCTAAGCTATCAGTAAGTGTCGTGCCCTTTTTTTCAACCCTGGGAAAACCTGCCTGCAAAAATGGGCAAGTGCATTTCAAAGGTGCCATTTTCATAGACACTGCCTCAGTTACTGCATGCAGAAGAAAGGAGCAATGGATGGCCTTCAGCAGCAGAGGTCAACAACAGGAGAGCATTGCCGAGATGATCACATTGTGGGGGCATTCATGTTTTCGTTCAGTTTTGGTTTTTAGCATCTTATCAATTTTCTTTGTTTTGCAGAACACTAGGAGTGTTCGAAGAGAGGGAAAACACTGATCAAAGGACAGATAATTCACGTGGTAGAAAACAAGCAAGCAAGCATTTTTTCCCTGTAGTTTTTTCAGGCAACTTAACAGACATGCTGCTAACAATCTTACAGACCATTACTTTCAACGCAGAGCCACAACAGAAGATTTTAACAACATGCCAGTAGCAAGCTTAAAAGCTTGAGGACTGTTGTATTGCTTTCATGAAACATGCATGGAAACTGAACCAGTTCAAAGAGGTCCTGTGGGTGGATTTATAGAGAAGGCCAAAATGAATAGCTAAACACTACAGTGCCTGCCAAGAGCAGCATGTGTCATGCACTTCGGAGGGCAAAGAAGCATTTGAGCTGTATGTGAGCGTGGGCATGGGCAGGATGACAGATGATGCATTCAATTTAGAATTACCTTCTGTTGAATGTGCACAGGAAACACCGAAAACAGCAACAACAACAACAACAACAAAATCAGAAATGCAATCCCACTACAATTACTAATAAAGAGGGCCTGCTGAAAAATAAAAATGAAACATTCTTCTTTTGAAAATCTATTTTCTGCACAGTTGATTTTTTTTTTTTTTTTAAACACTGGTTTTGGTAAAATTTATCCTTGGGGAAAACCACATTGTTTCTTAGTATCTAGACTGAATTGACTCAACCTACTGAGCCTGCCCGAGCTGTTGTCACGCTCTTACGGCAGCTGCATCCGCATCGTCCCTTACTGACTGGAGCACATCCCCCGGAGCACGCCTGCACTGCGCGCTGCCACGCCAGGGCACAGCCAGAGCCAGACGGGCACTGGCCCCTGCCCGCGCCCCGAGGATGCCACACACAGAGCGGCTGGCTTCACTCACACCCCTTCAACACTTCTCTCGGCACAAAGTCTGCCGTAGTATTTCATTATACTACATGTTTTAATCCTTTAGCTTTATGTATCTGCTCAGAATAGAAACAGAAGAGAAAAATGTTGGTCTTCCTGATAGAACAGCGTAATTTAAAATAGCCTGTCCTTGATATCCAGCTTCCTGGGCCACTAAAGCTAGCAAATTCCCAACAGTCATCGCAGCACAATGTCAAGTTAATTGCCTTTACATTTCAGAAGAGCACAACTAGCATTTTTGCCATTAAAAAAAAGCAGATGATGCCACTGAAGGCCTGTTCTATACTATTCCTTCATGCAGTATTTTTCAATTCAGATGTTATCTTTCTTTCATAGATATCAAGAAAGCAAGAATCCGTAAATTCTGGTTCATGTCCTTAGGGCCTATACATTTCATTCCTCTCTCATTTTGCTTCTGGAACAGAAATTGCCTCTCCTCCAGAAATTTTCTGCTCAATTGTCAGGGCAGAAACAAGAGCTTCTGTTTTCAGATTACAAAATTAAGGGCTTAACTGCTAAGCCTTCTTATACTACTATAGTATAGTAGACATCCTTGATGCCTTTACAGAAAATATAGCACAGTTTTGTGAAAAGTAAAAAAAAAACACAAAACAACCAAAAAACCCAAACAGTGAAATCAGTGGCTAAATATAGGTCGATCTCACATGGAGCAAAATCAGGCTACAGGACTTTCTAAATTCATACAGATAGCCAAGTAAAATACAAACTATGTTCAATTTCAGTTGATCTGGTACTAAGGGAGAAACATTTCCTAGGTTTATAAGAAAATGTATTTGACCTTTAGTTCAAGGATTCATAACTGCAGAAGAAGAAAAAAAAATCCTTATACTAACCTTACTTGATTTTAGGACCTTAATTTGTTCTTCATAAACTGTATCTTTATTCTTTTCCAAAAAGCCTTCACATTGATATTCCACCTGAAAACATCATTTTACAAAAAAGTAAGTATTAAAAGTATTTAATAAGAATATTTTGCATAGAATTCACCAGCTGTAACATTCACATTTAAACCAGAGAATGCTTGGGGATGTTGAAAATATCAGCTCCCAAGGGCATCTTTGTTAAATATAGATTTTCCTCAAAGAGAGTGCTTTCCAGTAAAACGTAAAACATTAAAACATATAGAGATAAATACTGTTATTGCATTATACCAGAGATATTTCACTGCTGAGAGATGCTTGTGGTAAGACAGCATGATTGAATGGTTAATGTAAAGGTGAAAAAATCAAAATGTGTGTTGAGCATCTCCTTCACTGAAGTTACCAAGGCTGCAAAATTGTGTGAAATTCAGATGCAACTGAGAACAAAATATCTCATCTCATCAGCTGAGAGGCAATAAGTAGATCTGCCTGCAGCTTATTATGAAAAAGCCCAATTTGTACTCAGAAATACTATTTTCACCAGGAGCAAAAAAAGTCTGAATGTTGTGACAATACATAATAATCCTTTATCATAGGGTCATGAAGTCTCCCGGACCATGGCCAAAGAACAGCCAGAGTGTCAGATAAAAACCTAGTATTTATTTCACTGTCCTAATTCAAGGCTGAACAAAAACCAAAAACTATTGTCAAAAGTCTGTACCTTAGGATTTGATATTAATTAACATAAGCATGCTAACCCTCGAAGTGTCTCACGCTAACTTTTCAATCTTGTATGAGCAGAAGCCCAGACTATAAAATACAAAGCAGACGCTTATAGCAATTTGCTTCTTCCTCTCGGCACAGCCATCTCTCGGTGCTTACACAAAGACACTATATCCCAAGCTGAGAAACATTTCAAAAAATTCCGAGGGGGGAAGAAGACAGAGGATCTCCCCAAGGTCTCTCCAAACTGAAAGCCCACTCTGAACAGCACCTCGGGTACCATTAATGTTCGTACTGCGGGAGAGAATGCCAGGAGAGGGCAGCAGAACCTCTGCCTTCTCCCAGAGAAGACAACGCACAGAGGTTACTAACCTGCCAGCTACAGCTACTTTTTTTCCTTCAAGATGTCCGTATGCATTCAGGTGAGCACACAGCGCATCAGAGCTTAGAGCTTTGCCAACACCTGCTTGGAGCCACTTCTAGCTTTCCTTGGCCCCTCACTGCTCAGACCAGGCATAGGAAAGCCTTGTTTTCAAATATCAATTAAGCCCTTCTTGTTCTGTCATCCACCAAATAACTCATTAATCTAAATAGTTACAGAGATGTCTGTGCTGCTTTCATTAAGGTAACACTAAATGCAACAGGAACAGGACCCCTCTTCTACGCATAAATTCAAGAACCTGGGGGAAATCAAGTGGAGGCAAATAAAGGTCTCCAACCTCCACGTCAGCACATATGGACCTACTGATAAGAATCCCAGGCTTCTCCAAACTTTTTTCAACAAAGATGACAATATTCTGAGCAGCTTCTTTGTTTAACAGGACAATTACCTTAAATAGGATTTTAATTTTTTAAAATTTTATTTTAACCTGAGGAGTTGCTCAGTTTGACGATGCGTTGTGGGAGCGGAACCACCCATGCACTCCACTGAGATACCCCTCATCCAGTTTGCTAGAAATAGCTGTTCACGGACCAGCAGAGGCGAGGGTGGAAGCAGCACATACTGCTCCAGCAACAAGAAGGGTGTGTTAGCCTCCCTCCTGTTTGCACATTAAGATGGCAGCAAACCAACACCATTTGGTTGTTGCGCTTTAGCCTACAACTACAGTGAGATAAATTATTTTCTATTTTTTGTATTTCTATAGATATATAACTATATATACTTATATATATAACGGGATTTGATACAATTATGCTGTGAATTGCAAATACACTAAGCTGTCATGTTTTGAAAAAGGATGGTTAGTGGTTACAGTGTGCGACAGGAGTCAGGAGCTCGTTTGTGTTCCTGGCTCTGCACAGCTGCCAGGACAACTTTCTTCTCTGCTCAGGCATACCGGCAAGCACACAATTTGCAAGAAGCAGAGTAGAGCCAGGGATGCTGCTACCCAGTCGCTGCCTGCAACAGCCGCCCATACCAGGATCCCCTCCCGCGCACATGCTCTGCAACACCAGCCACGGGAAGAGATACCAGAGAAGAAGTCCTTACCTTGTCAGCAAAGTGCTTGATGATAAAAGCCTTATTTGACAAACGCGGTTTTTCAAAGAGGGCACATTTATTCAAATGAGTATTGTATAGTTTTTGGGCCCAAGTGTCATCTGACCCTTTTGGCATCTACGGAAGAGAACACACAGCCATTTAAAATGTCTTGAGAACTTTTAAGTAGCAAAAGAAACTAAGACAACGGGGGACAACACTTTGTGGTTTGCTTTCAAACTCCCAGCTTCTTGGATTTCCAGCACTTCCATAAGCAAGGAAGCCAGTAATCAGCTATGCACTTGCCTTTCTAGCGCTCTGGATCTGGCACAGCCAGCAGCAGGTGTAGCTGCTATGTGACACATGCGACGCTAACAACACTTCCAGTGTCACACACCCGAAGGCAGGGATCCAAAAGGTACTTTTTCTGGCTGACCAGTGTCTCAGTGGGTCAGAACCCATGCACCACCATTAGAGATTACTTGTGATGCTTTGTGATACACAAGAACCCCACGCTGGGTTTCCACTGAAGTAGACACCACATGCCATCCCCTGTACATGGCTTGGCATAATTTAAACTAAGATAAAAGACAAAAAGTGACACACCAAGCGAGAGGCAATTTGGAGCAATCTGACAGAACCGAAGACTGTCCTTGCGGCACTCAGGAAACAACAAAGTTGACAGAGTCCAAACAAAGGTTAATCAGAGCGCCAGAAACAGATACAGATACATGATGGAGAGGAGGGGGGGGAAAAAGCATGATTAAACCCATTTTTTCTCCTCCTGTAATTGCCAATTCTGTTTGTATGTTCTCCAAATGCTTTCAACAGCAGACTGTCAAAATGATGGCTGTATGTAGATTACTTTTCCCTGTGAGGCCCCAGAGGCAGGATGGCTGATGACCTCTTTCTCTGTGAAAGCCCTTGAACACATACCTTGCACTCCTCATCCAACAGATCCAGGATTCCCATTTTGGCCTCTATGAGGTTGATGCAAGGCTGATTGTCATAGAAGTCAATCAAGGTCCATGGTATTTGTTCCTTCATATATTCTTCCTGTTCCAGCTTAAAGACATGCTACAGGGCAAAAAGAAAATAGTTTTCTGTGAAATAAAATGCAGAATAAATACATCAAACTCTCACTTGAATTCATTTTGGCACATTAATCCAGGGTGTCAAGTGACATACTAGTTCAATTGAATAAACACTTCAACAAGTAAGTGTATGAAAAATAAATTAACCTTTTTTCCTGGCCTAAAGAAAACAGACTAAATTAAAGAACTCATCCATATTCTCTGCAAATAAGGTCTATTTTATCCTTTCTTTTTATTACATTGTCCCACAATTACTATAAGCTCTTTTTCTTTTATAAAAAACACAACACAAAACCCAGAAAAAGCCTCAAGTGCAGGAACAGCAACTTATAAAGTGGGATGTGCCATGCGTTTATGATTTTGAAGTTATGAATACTGCTTTATTTCAAGTAAAATTTCACTATAAATACTTTAGCATTTCCTTGTAGAAGAACAGAGCTCCATTTTCTCTTAAATGGTTGCGGATTTTTTTTTTTTAAGATGACGCACTGCATTAAAATTTATTCTTCAGCAAAAATCTGCAAGAATGACTCTGCGAGTATTAGCACAAGAAATCCTTTAAGCAAAATTTTGTGGAATATCTGATATGAAGATCAGTAACAATCTAGTTGTTTATTTATTCAAAAATATTATCACAAAAAACCTGCACAGTTTTAATGAAACACACATAGGAGATGAATTAAAACTTTAGGAAGAAAAGATAAGACAACATTAAACAGGCGAACTGTGGTCTTAGTAGCACAAGCACTCTTTTTAAAAACAAAAAGACTGCTGACTCCAGTTATTTTTAATGATGTTGTATCTCTCATTTAAATTTTAATGCATACTAACTGCTCTGGCAGGCAGAACTGAACTCAGAGCATACCCGAGCAAGCAGCAAAGAGCAGCACTGTGGGCAGGGTTCGGGGGGCCACCACGAACACCTGTATTCGTGGAGCCAGCCGCAGCCGCCCCTGAGCTCAGTGCACAAGCCCACAAATGCCTCGCAGCCCTCTGGCACGCATCTGCCAGACAGCAGAGAACTACCCTGACAAAGCAGTTTATCCCTTTTATTTCATTAGCTTAACACCATCCTTTCCAAAGCAGCACTCCTTAACGGCGCCTGCGGGAGCCGTTCCCACCCCACCGCTTAACGGCTGCGTTACACGCCGAGTTAATTCCTGACAGGAAAGCCAATGGTAGCGTTTTATTGGCAAGTCATACCCAACCTAAGTCCTGAAAGAAAACATAAAACCACTTCTCCACTGTAAAGGAATTAGCAATTATGTGGTGAAAAATGTCTTCAGACCTAATTTTCCTTACAGGCTGTGGGTGGTCAGGCAGACGAAGGGAGGCCGGGCAGGCTGTGGAGACGCGAGTGGTGGCCGGGCAGCCAGGCTTGTGCCGCGCTGGGTGACACGTGAAGGCTTGCTGGCTGCCGCCACAGACACGGGGCTTTAATTTAAAACAACTTCCACCCTGTGTAGCTGCATGGTAGCCCAATGGGTCTGCCAGCGCTTTGGTACTTGGCGGGGGATCAACCCAAAAGCCCCATTGCCCCATCCTTCGTGAGACAAGTGCTTACAGCGACAGCACGAGAGGGAAGGAAACACGGCGATGGTGATCTGTAGTAAAGAAGCGAACCTTTACAATTCTTACTGCGACTATATTTTTGCTATAGAGCTGAAGAAACTCCAAGATACCTTGCACTTAGCAGTCATGACATCCCGCTTACAGAGATGAAGCCAGCCATGGCACCACCAGCACAGAAAGGGAACGCTGGGGCTGGAAAGCCCAGCCTCCGCTCCAGCACCCGACTTACTTGCCGACACGCATCCCTGTTGCTGGGATGAATAATGGCACAGGGGGATCCGGTCCTGCGAGCGGGATGAGCACACTGCCATGGAGGTACGCTCATAAAGAGAGTTCAAAGCTATTCCTGTACTGCAGCACAGCCTAGCAACAGACCTGGCATAAATAACTTGCCTCATCGTTACGCAGGTAAGATATATAATTACAAACGTCACTAGGGCTGAGAGGAGAGAGAGAGAGAATCGTGATCTCTCTGGAGGAGGGGGAAGAGGCGCCTCTTGCCACACGTCAGTCATCAATTTCAGGATGCGGCTGAAAACCCTCAAAAAATGATGCCAGGAGAGGAAGCGTGGGTGGCAGATTTCCAGCAGTAAAGCCCCGCTCTCTGCTGCCCGTGCACAGGCTCCCGTTGGAGGTTACGGAGACACAGCTAACTCCAACTTCATCCACACTGCACTCTCATCGACAGACAATCTCAGGGTCTTAATTGCCAAGCACTGCTTCTATCTTATAATTGTTACTGTGATCGGAATTTCAAATAGTCCCAGAGCAGCAGTTAGTCATAAAATCTATTTCTAGGAGATAGTCGATCTTTCCCCATCCACCAAAGCCCACGGCCAGGACAGCTGGTTAATAGACTGAAGGAATTCATTGTAACCACTGGGGACCCAATTAGCAGGATGGACCTGGGTGAGGGGAAAGGGAAGAGGAAATGCCAGTCATTTTCTACTTACCATATTGAACTGCTGCTGCAGTTTTTCATTGGCATAGTTGATACAGAACTGTTCAAAGCTGTTGATTTCAAATGTCTCAAATCTAAAATATGCAGATACTCAAAAATTACTAGTGCAGTGAAAAAAACAGATTAAATGACCCCATAATTATAAATTCCCTCCCTCCAGTCAAAGTCACTGCATTATTCCGGGCACAAACAACCACAATCAAGTAACAAAGCACATAGGTAAATGGCAACTTGCAGAACACAGGCAATTCAGTGACGCTCCTTCTTTAGGCAAGGATGAGGAACACGGGAAAGGACTGATGTTCCTGAAGAGCATGTTAGTTATCTTTGTCTCCTCTAGAAGTGCCACCCTGGAGGAGCCATAAGATGACAATTCCCTTCTAACTTTCCCCACTGCAAAAATAAAGGAACTACCAACAGCAAAAATCTGAAATCCCACTACAAATGTCAAACCTGAAAGTCAAGACAAAGATCTTAGACAGTATGTCAAAACTAAACACCTACTTCCTTCATCTGGAATAAGCAGCTGCTAAAGGTTTGGGGTTTTTTGTGTAATCCACGCAGCACTACATGATAAAGACAAAGACGCTTTGCTGTAAGGTAATTATGTAATAGGTGTCACATCTCTGACAAAAAGACTCACCCGTAAATGTCCAACACTCCAATGAAAGAATGCTGCTTTACAGTAGCATGAAGGGCTTTGTTCACATGATCTACAATCCAGTTAAAGAGATTAGCATAGATATGTTTGGCAAGTGCATCTCTGGCATTGATGGCATGAAGTTTAGAAATTGGCTTGATGTAGGTTTCAGTGGCAGTTGCGAGCTTCCTATGGCAAAGCCAGTGGGCCATCTCTTCATACTCCACACCCATGAGGTCACAGAAGATGGTGAGGGGTTCATGCTTGGGCTAATAAAAACAATCTCGTTAGGTCTTGAAACATTATTAACAATAGCACATATGCAATCATGCAATAAGAACGGCCTGCCTGCAGCGATCCAACAATAAGCAGCAACAGCAGCCTCCTCAGCTCTTCCTCCTTCAAAATGTTAACAGGTTCCCTACCCACTTATCACATCCACATTGCTGAAGTAAATTAGTGAATCACAGTTTCCCCAAAGGCATTTTACTATACTTGTGTTCACCAAAAAGCCCCACGTAGGGAACCTGCTACCTTCGCAAAAATGAATCACGTAGCTTTGCAGGGATGCACTTGGTATTTTGAATTCTTGTACCTGTCTCAGTTTTGTGTGAAGAAAACTAGAGAAATGCAGAGAACAGGACATCAGCTGTGGGCTGGGGACAGAATGGGCTACAGCTCTCGAGTGGTGCTCTCGTCTGCTCGTATACAATCCACGGCAGGGAGTGACGGGCAATGGGCCATTGCAGCCCAAGCCAAGAACGAAGAGGAAGAAATGCAGAACGGCTTTAGTGCTCTGGTCTCAGTATCTAACACAGTATTTTCTCAGTGAATTCTGGAGACAAACATTAGGAGACTAGAGTACACAAATGATGTTCTCTAACTCTCAAATTGGACTGTACAAGTGAAAAAACTGACCTTTGTTTAACCAGGTAAAATCAACTAGCAAGGCTTGCACACTGAGATGGGTATATAAGATTCCTGCATAAAAATCTGTGCAGTGCATTTACCACCCAATGGGTTAAGATACTACACTTTGTGACTAACAAACAAACCAACAGCTAGAAATCAAGGAGGACAGACAGGTCTTTCCTCCTAAGCAACTCCCTGAACACTACTTCCTCATCACGTTCACTTTGCACCCAGTGGCTCAACAACATGCTGACAAGCAGCGTCTTGACAAGGACAGATTACAGGGGACTGTTACTACATGCCCAGTAGCTTCAGGGTACTGGTATTTTATCTTTCTATTTCCATGTCCTTCTGACTTCTCCAGGGCTTATTCCAGTCCTCACAGCATACAGATCCCCTGGCAGTGCTGTTACACCTCCAAAATCCAGTTAACAGAGCACATCTTCTTTCCGTTTAGCCATACCACTTTAACTGGCTCAGAAGACAATAATAAAGTAACAATAATAATGAACACTGCACAAAAGACTGTCACATTAGGGTTACTCGAGCTGACATTAAACAAACCGATTCATTCACACAGCACCACGCGGAGCCCTTCGCTGAGCTCCCTGCAGCACCACCATTGCATCACCACACCAGCACTTCCCAGGAAGACCACTCTGCATGGTGACAGAGCTCTGCAATGACATGGCTATTGTCAGAGAACAGCCTGGCTCAGGTAGCGGATGCCGTTGAGCAGACATTTACCACCGCCTGCTAGATGTTTACCACATCAGGATGGGATTGCACAGGAACTTGCAGCTTTGTACCAGCTCATTCAGTGGGATTCCTGCATTGGAGATACCCACTATAACACAGGCTAGCTCATCATGTCCTGGGGCTCATCAGCTTTCTACCTGTGATCGTTAAATGATGCTTTCCTTGTAGTGAAAACCTTCTGAAGACACACCAAAGAGCCAGACTATGGCTGTGGTTTCACAGCAGCTATTCATTAGATCCCATGGACAGATGGTGTCAGACCAGGCACACTGATCATCTGTGACCTGATAAAGTACCTGTTGTCTCAGCTCCAGAAACTGCTACTACAGGTTCTTCAGAGAGAGACTGATAGTAAAGTGAGAAAAAAACCCTGCAACTGTTACTACTATTTGAAAAGAAGGATGAAGGCTGGGTAGTCCAGCAGTAGACATTCAAGGAAAGGCAAAAGGAGAAACAGGTCCCTTGTGAATTCAAGGAAGAGAAGAGTGACAAGCCAGATCTTTTTTGTTTCTCATCTCCAGAATACAGACTTCAGTAAGAAGCCTTGGTCCCCACCGAATGAGGAAGTGTTTTTCAGATCAGACTACACAGTCCTCATTGCTGACCTCCACAAAGGTAAAAAAGGACTGATAAAAAAACCACAACACCTAGATGAGTCACACAAATCATATCTGTATATCCTATGCTCATGTCTAGACATCCCAGATGACTTTGCAAAGCGTTTGCTTTACAATTATTTAGGCCATGTTGGCATCTAAAAAAAAAATACACAAACCATCCTGTAAAGCATTTACCACAGTAAATGCAGGGAACGTATTCATGTGGGAATATGAAGATCTAGACACCTGAGCAGGACTTCAAAGCTAGCCTGTCTGGTAGACTTTTCTAGGACAGATCAATTACAGTTTTGAAACAAAATTAAGGCGGACACTGTCATAATAAAGAGAGTACTGTCTAAAGCCTCTAAACTGAGGAGAGTTATATCCATCTGCAAAAAGAACTGTGAAAATGTTAACAAATTAGAAATAAACACATTGCTTGCGTTTTTATATTGCTAATCTTTTTCAGAAGAGATCCCTGCAAGCAAGCAGAAGGCAGAACTGTCAGAGTAGAAACCATGCCCTTCAGCTCATCTATGACTCACAGGAATAGTGCAGCTGTCAGAATCCCGAGATGCAAACTCCACGTTGCCCAAGTGAAGGATGCCAGCAAGGATTCGAAAAATTCCCATCTGGTAGGAATCGCTAATCCCTGAAAAATGATGAATAAATCATTTTGAATGGAGAGAGAAATAAAGAACCACGAGCTGCAGTTGATGAAAAATTTTATTAAAAAGAGAAAAATGGTGACTGTCGTGTGTTTTTTTCAGAGACTTTGGCATTTGACAGTACTGCTTGGCTCTGCTTCTATTAAAAACATTTCACAATCAGATGCAAAAAAAATCCATTAAAATTAACTATTTAATTTGCTGTTCCAAAGTGCTTTGTCAATGACTTTCAATGCTGTATATGCTACGCGAAGAGGATCCACCATTTATGTTCATATAATGCATGCTCCTCATACACTGGATATGTGATTCTGCTGCAATATAAATACCTTCTTAATGCAATAAAAACATCTCAGTCCCCAAGTTTATCAAACTCTCCTCATTTTAAACACAACAGAGTATGAAGAAAATATACACAAACAATATAGAAAATACTTGCTAGTATACCGAGTATACTGGATTTGAGATGTGACTGTTTTTTACAAATTACCTAGCAAAGTGCAGGCCTGCCTGGTGTTTATCATTTCCTTAGCATCATCGACACCGTCAATTACAGGGCTTCCACCTTGCTTTGTATAGTGAAAGTAATTTGCATTCCCTGTAAGAAAAAAAACAAATCTTTTACACACACTGACACAGAAATTCACAGCACATCTGTAAAGCTGTGTAATGAATAAGTTGGTCTTAGCAAAATCCATGATTTGAAATACATCAACCTATTTTTGCTTTCTGGCTTATAGTCCCTGTTATTCTGGAAAAGAATTTTTTCAAGATTCAACAGTGCAAGTAAGTATTCTTAAGCTACCTGGTCCCGATAATAGGCCCTCAAGCATATTCTCTATGCAACCTTGGTTCAGACTTCCACACTTGTGGAATAATCGCTTTGGAAGCAATTATTCTCCAAGTCCGAGCCAACCACCCAAGTGATAGGTGCAGAGTTGACAGCAGCAGCACTTTGGAATTATGTGGCAGATACTACTATGCTATTATTGCATCAGGATATTTAAAAAAAAAAAAAAAAAAATCTATTTTGCCTATTTTCTTCTCATTTCTAATTTATGGTCTCATGCAGTCTGATGAGTATCTGTGATCTGTTCTGGCTGAGAAGTCATGGTTGGAGAACTGGTAGCTTCATACCACTCTGGGGACAGCACTGGGCTTCACTGAGAAAGCAGTAGCTTCCCTGGGTACTGTGTAATTCCTATGGTTTCAGTGGCATGCTTCCAGCTGCAGTAACAGACTCGTTTTCTTCTGATCTGCTAAGGTTTCAAGAATGCTGAAAGAGGAGTCTGCTAAATGGCTTCTTTAGTTATAATTATATCAGTTCATTTCTTTCCTGTGTCAGCAGATGTGAATCCTGAATGTGCCAGGATGGTGCAGGAGAGCAGAGAAACACTTTAAAACCAGAAAGATATTTCAGAAATCAGCACTGACAGGCTGTGCAGTTTTCCCACTATGAAGCTAACTTTTAAAAATATACTGAAGCACTGAAATTTATATTGAATTTTAGAAATTATAAGGTGGTTGTCTGTCCCAAAGTCATCATCGTGCCTTTCTTTTACAAAGTACCAGTTCCTGTTAAATGAGAAACCATCCCTTCATCAACATTTTAATTTGAAAAATGAAACATTTCACTGATCAGTTTTGTGATCACCAGGCTAGCAGAGATGGCAAAGTAATTGTTGGTAACATCCCAAGTGAAAGTATGCAGATGCAAAATAACCTTTTCAGGTGCTTATACCAGAAATGGTAAAATTCTCTAGTAGCTGGAGCCATGGTAAAAAGGTTTTAAAAGACCAAGAAAAGAGAATTTCACCCTTGCCACTGGAAAGCTGCTCTGGAATCCAGGACATAGTAAGTCCTAGTGAGTACAACTGCAGTGTATTAGAGTAGGCTGAATAAACAAATCTAATACTTTTATTTTATCTAAAAAACACAAAGTCTGAGATCTGCCATTTCAGTTATTTTCCAATACATTTTAGTATTTGAAGGTTTAAAAGTTTAGAATTTAAAAGCCAGCAGTTCTTCTTTCGGTTCTATAGCTCAAAAAGCTCAGAGATGCTGCTTTGTACCTACAATAGCACAACACAATGAATGTGAATTTCATACCTAACCGTAGAGTTTTAAATTCAGGTAATGCTGCAGAGGCACAAAGTTGGTAAAAGATGTGGTAATTTCTCTCCTCTTCTGCCTTTAAAAAGAAAGGAATTTATTATCCTTTTGCAACTTAAGTGCCAGAAACAACCATCAGTAGAAAAGAATTACTATTTTTAATGTTTTCTCTAGCATTACATTAAGAGCATAGAAGCGGCATGGAAAAAGGAAATATAAATCAGCATCTACGATTTCCTTCTTGATTAATTTAATTTAATCCATTTTCAACAGCAAGAAGCATGCAGACATCTTAATTTAAAAAAAAAAATGTACAATCTAACTTTTCAGGTCTGTGGATTACTATTAAATATAGATCAGGATTCTATGGGTGGGTCAAATGATCATACTTAAAAGCTTTTCATTTTCCAGAAATAACTAATACCATTTGCCTCAGCATTTATAGTAAGCTGGTGAAGGGAGTATCTTTCTTGACAAGACAAAGCTGGAATTTTAAAATGAAGGACAAACACAGCTTATGACTCATGACCAACACCGTAATTCTGAATTTAAGAGCTCTAAATTCCATAACTTCAAAATGAAGAAAAAAAAAAGAAAAAACTACTCTCTTCCAGCTAAACCATGTGCAAGAAGTGTCTCTTATTTTTAAAATATACAACAATAATATACAACAATACCCTACATAATGCAAACTGTAATTATTTACTTTATACCTTTAGGCAGCCAGTCAAGGATAAGTCCATTTTTACTGAGCTCTAGACTATAAGGTAGGCAAAGATGGAGAGGAAGTGTGGGAGACAAAAAGGTTGTGGATCGGTTCAAGTATGAAATAGCAAAATGAAGAGAGTTCAAGAAAGATGAAATTACATTTCCTCATTTGCCTAAATAATGGCAATTAAGACTCATTCATAATTATTGTCATAGCAGTGGGTTTTAACAAGATTGAAAGTGAGCTAAGATAGCAACAAACAAACCACAACAGAGAGCTCTTCGGTTTTGAAGCCCTATTCTATAATACTATGGTAAGCACAAATTCATATCTAGTAGTGCACCGAAACGATTTCATGTTTAAATGCACAGTCTTTTTAATACACATTTTAGAACTACAAATAAGTCATATAATGAAGGGGTAACTTGGTTTTCCTTTTCTCCCCCCTCCCAAAATGTGTTATATTACAAATACATTATTACAGCCAACGCTTAGGAGAAGTAACTAGTATCAGCAAGCGATAGCTTTTTATTATTCTTTTTTAGCATAGTTACACAAATATACAGTAAGAAGATTGCATCAGTATTACCTGAAACACCACTCTTGATTTTTCCAGGAGGTAAGTTCTCATGTTAGCACCAATGATTCGATACCTCTTATCAAAACCAATTTCAATGTATTTCCCAAAGCGACTGCTGTTGTCATTCCTTGTAGTTTTGGCATTTCCAATAGACTGAAAAAAGGGAATATTGTAAAGGTTAAACAGCTTTTAGAAATTATTAAAACTATTGCATCATCTACATGGCTCATTAACGCTTAACAACATTAATTTTGTCCTGGTTTCAAAATAATCAAGAATTTAATAAAGAACAATCTCCGCCCAGTCAGCAAGTTACATCAAGATAGATACGGTTATTTCATTAACACAAGATAGGGAGCTGATCCTCCTAGCAATTATTTCACTTTCACATAGTCTAATTTGCCAGCTAAAAATCCTTTATTGCTCTGAAGTCTTTTAAAAGGAATTAAAGAGTCTCAGAATGCTCACATACACCCAGATTTCTTCTAAGTACTTAATAAAACTATAACAATTATTTCACACTGTATAGTTTCATATAGGTATGTGTACAGATATATGTATAGTACTTGCATCCTTTGTAAGTCTACCTACCATAAACCCACAGACCAGCAAACAGCCCCTGTAGTCTCTCTGGCTAGCAGTTTATTATTATTACTCCATAATCAACCACAATTCCAAAATACTTCCCCGAACACATCATCGTAAAATATTTACTGCATGCCTATAAAATGTACAGACTCCTGCCATTTGCCTGAAACTGAATCCCTTCCATAGCAGCTTGGTTACTGACTCAGAGAGTCTTCAATGCTGCCCTGTGATTAATTTCTAACTTTCTTAGATTAATTCAATACAGCTTCATACACAATATTTAATGTATTTCCTCTATAGTACATGGTCTTGGGATACCCAGGAAAAATGATGACTGTGGTTCCTAAATGGTCTTGGTGTGCCTCTGCCTTACCCCATCAGTGTTAGGATTCACCCTGCGACAGGTACCAGCTGGATATATCAGAATTCAAGGCATGCAAATCACAACATGCTGAACTTCAAAGAAAAGCATTTTCTCTTCTCAGTGAGATCATGTTTCAGACATCATACAGTAATTCATCTTCCAGAACAATCCTAATGGTATCCCTGTACCAAAAGGAATGGCATTTGGTGCAGTTCAGATACAGAGCGCTGCCTTTTATCATATGCCACTGTGCGTATGTTATCAAGTACCTAACTCTGAAGTGCACCATAACTAAAGAGCACAGAGTTGCGTCTACGTCCTAGTGTCCTAGTTCACGTAGCCATCCACAGGAAGTCTGTACTGAACTAAAACTTGGGGAAAACAAATGAGAGCAAATAGCAATGCTGAGTATCGCTATTCCAAATCTGTAAACAGAAGGCCAGTAAGGGTTAGCCGGGTACAGCACGGGAAGCGGGGATTAGACTTTCAGAAACCCCATTACAGCAGCAGCATCACGCACGCCCAACCGAGCAGATGTCAAAGCGGTATCAGATGAATGGTTGCTATAAAGGATACAAGAACAAATTGCATCTCTGCAGTTCTAAGAAATACTGAATTCATTCAAACTGAACATACTCAAACCGCATTTCTTGTCTTTTAAAATTATTGCTACTGTCATATATTGTGGTGGTGGTGGTAGCAATATAATATTACAATATTTTCAGAAACCAATTACTACTTTGAAAGGTATTACTTAAAAAATAACAGTTAAAGTCTTTGGTATTATAAGATTGCTTACCAGAGTACATACTAAGCTGTACAATTCACGTAGCTATACAGGGCAAGAAAGAATGAAAGGCAGGAAATTGCATGTAAAAGATGTGTTTTAAGACTTGACAATTCCTAAATTTGCAATAGGAAAACTGTACAGAGTTATTGACTACTACTTAGTAGGCAAAGATGATGTGAAATTCTGACACCAATGATGGTAGCTCATACAACGCTGATGTTTAGGTTGTCCAAAGCTAAGATTTTATTAGCAATTTAGCAAATGAGGAGTTTCCTGTTTCTAAAATGAATTGCTCATTTTCTTCCTAATCTACATCGGTTAATTTGTGTTTCTGCTGATTTATCAACTGCAGAGTTCGAAACATTAATTTTGCTGTTCTAGACTCCATCTCAACACCAGATTTCACAACACTCACTCTAAAGCTCACTTAAAGTTCATGTGTTTGAAGTTAAAAGCATAACTTTCATCCAATTATAACAATTTTTAAAGTATTTTAAATTTTAGATATACCCAGGTTCGTGAAATTGTTGTTATGCCTAGAAAATAAAGATAAAGCACCACCATCTATTTAGATTTTTAGTGGATTAGAAGTTAATTTCTGGTCCTTAATTTAAATTTCCTTGCTTTGGAAATTAAATCAGACAATTAGTGGTAAAGGTGATGGCCACTAATTGGGAGGTGGGGTCCAAGAAGTGAGAGCGAAGGATGTTTGTGTAGGTTTTGAGACCAAACAAAAGAAGTGGCACAGGGAAACCTGTAGACGGTTTGTATTTCACTCAGCAAACAAATAGCAAACTGCAGACCCGACCCATCCCGCCGAATCTCTTGCGGTAGCCGTCACTTAGCAGACAGGCGGTGAGGACGGGGCCGCCTGCTAGGCCCCAGGTACCACCTCTGCGGTGTGCAGGGGAAGGCAGGAGGGGCGTTTGGCACCCCCGGTCCTGTTAGCCATGCACCGAATCTCAACCTGGCCAACGATGGTATGACACTGCAAACATTGGAGCAGTGAAAGGAGTACTCCGGGATGAGCTCACGCCTGCAAAACTGCCATGGCTCCCCAGGGCCCAGCCTGCTCCCGCTGGGGTAGGTGCAGCTCAAGGCAAGGCTCAGCTCCCCTGGCTTCCTCCCATAGCTGGACATTTGGACCCCTCAACAGCAGAGCCCGCTGCCCATCGTGGCACAGCTTGTTTTATCCCACAAAACAGTTGCAAAACACCCCCCAGCACCACAAACCAGGCACGATTACCTTGCAACAGAACACACACAACTGTGATGGGGCAGCTATAGTTTGAGTATCATGAACTCCTCATGCCAGAAGGAAAGAAGGAATAAAGCATAGCCCATTTTTAAAAATACCTGAGAAAGAAAACAATGGCAGCATTTTGCATTTCACATTTCACTGCGCGCTCTCCGTTTAATTCATGTCTATCCAAACGTCACACTATTGCATAGAGATGCTAAACATCTGCCAAGGCATCAGTTGTCCTAAGCATTTTATTAGGTTGTCCAATGGGCGTGCGCATTGGACTTATTGTGCCCATGGACAGTGCTACTTCTCTCAAGGTATTCCCCCAAGACTGCGTCTCTCTGATTAATCATTTCTTAACATAGTTCCTTAACTTCAGCTACAACTTGAATCTAGACATGTAGGCAAAGACACAAAAAACAATTCAGAGCCTAAGAAATGTTTTCTGTTTGGCCACAACAGCAGAATTACAGCACCTCCTGAGCTCTCCAGAGAACAGAGATCCTGAAGCAGGAGGCAACTGTACATGTTATCTCACGGTCTATCACCAGCACCCAAGCCACCTACACTCCCAAGCCAAGGGCTTTGGGACTTGACTACAGTTAGTTACACCAATTTCCAGAACTGAAACATTAGTCTGAGGTAATTATAGCAAAATTACATCTTCAGTTGTCTTTTTCCCCTCTGAAAGAAACTGTGTGCACTTCATGTAACTTCGCTTTCTCAGTCTATCTTCTGTAATCGCATTTCCTAAAATTGAACATTTGCTTTACTGAACAACTCTCTTCACTTCCAAGTATAATCTACCTGCCCCACTGCGTGATGTACATGTTTGATGTGTAAGACCAGAAGTTTTAATCCTCTTTGCAATTTTACGCACAAAAAGTCTTCTGCGCTTGCATTTGGCCAGCGGTCTGGGAACTACCACTGTTACAAAGCTGAATAGATTTAAAGCAGTATTTATATAAAAATTACTTTGTTATGTGAAACACATTAACAGTACTGAAACATTGCCTCCAGTCTTCTCTCAGTCTTTCAGAAATACTACACAAAATGATGCCTAAGGCACCTCCTCGTAAATAGATTAAAAACAAAATTTTAAAATTTATTTATTTATTTATTTATTATTATTTATTTTAAATTTATTCTAGGTTCTTTGAGCCTTAAAAAAAAGTATGGATTGCTCCCTCTATTGAATGCTTATGTTAGCCCCAGAATAATAACCGCAGCTGGAGGGTGGGGCTTAGTGCAGTAGCTCTCTTACCTCCATGATAGGGTTGGAGGCCAAGACCTTCTCCTCAACATTGGCTTCACTGGCAGATCCACTGACTGTGGCAAAGTACCTCATGGCGTACTTAGCAGAGACAGTCTTTCCGGCTCCAGATTCCCCACTGACAATGATTGACTGATTTCGCTCATCTCTGAAAGACAAAGACATGTTAATTACCAGCTGTTCTCTCAAGGACACTGACCTTTTGTATCCCCAACTTGGCAACAACCCTTCCACCATACATGTTAGCAACACAGCAATAATGTAAATGCATGTGGCAGAAACAAGGCTGTTAGTGACCAAGCTGCCTGAACGGCTGACTGGACTGCCTGCAGCCAGGATGCCCGGTCAGGATTGATGCTGCCGCGACAGTCCAGCCAGCCAGCAGGGCTGCTCTGGAGAACCTGGCTACAGTAAAGTACCAGTTACCACTATTCACTACGTGCTTCTGCAGCTACTTCTATCCAGAGTCTGTGGTACAGTGCTCCACTAAGCTATCAGTGCTCATTAGTAAAGATCATTAATGCCATCTTACAGATAGAGAAATCAACAGCAGAGTCAGCAACAGAAATCTTTCGTCCTTCTGACCTAATCGCCAGCTTTTCCCAGAATTGTTCTGAACCTGAAAAATTCAAGCAGGGCTGTTCAGGACACAAATAGCAGCTCTGGAGCGAAGACAATCCCTTTGTTGTGAAGTAATTTCTTTTCACTTAAAAAAATTAATCTCCATTTGCTACTAGAACCATTTTGTCTCATCTCAAAGAGGGCTCTATCCATAAACCCCAACTGTACGACTAATAAACACACTACAAAATAACAAGAATAGAAATTAGCATTTATATAGCCTGAATCTTTTAAAATAAAGACCATACATGTTTATACAGTTTTTTATATTTCCAAAGCTAAAGAAGTTAAAATGAACATTTCAAAATACTCCTATGAGCTGGGTGAGCTTAATTCTCTTACATACTTGAAAGCAGAGAAAGAAGGAGTAAAATTTTACTCCAAAGCTTTACAGAGCTGGGGCTGGAACATAGAAAATATAGCCAAGCCCCAGACCAGGCTGCACTTACAGCACAGTAACTGTGAATGAAATTTCAGGCACACACACGTTCAGACAGCACATATAGTCTGCTGAGGCCATCAGTAAATGCTACGCAGGGGAAGTGAAGAAATATGTATGGAAAAACTATTTGTGGTTTCTGTAACCTAAAGGTCCTCCAGAAGATCTGGGGTTCTATTTCTGAGATGGTCAAAAAAAAGCTGCTGCTGAAATTATGAAGCTAGATTACAGATCACATGGCTACTCTCAAGCTATTACCTATGTTACAAAACATCACCAAGCCCCCAGATAAGAGCACAATTCCAACATCTACTTCATGCTGCACAAAGACACAGGCTAAAGGTGTCTCTGGTTACATCGCGCATCTCCAGGAGAGCCAAGGTCGGATCCGTTTGACCAAACAAAGGCATCGGTTCACACAGGTTTTCCACATTTTGGTAAAAGTAAGTTACTTGAAAGGGCTCAGTGCCGATTTAAATTTAATAGGGAAGTGTTAGGAAGACCAAAGCAACCTAATTTTATGTTCTCCACTTCCATTTAACACATGCGATAGGTGTGAATGACTACAGCACAGTTCACACATTCACATACACCAAGCTGTCAGCCTCGGTGGGAAAGCGTAACCATTCAGCTTGACAGGCGGGGTTACAAAGACTGAACTGCCAGAGGTGCCAGCCTTGGCCACAGGAAAAGGAAAGCACCCGCTGATGAGACCTCTCCTTACAGCGGCCATCAAGCCTGCAGCACACCCTCCTGAGGGAGGTCTGTGGTGCCTGGGATGGCCTGCAGTAGCGATGAAGATCTCCACCTGGGAAAGAAAGAAGAAACATTCTTGCTTCTTCCCCATTCCCGCTCCCAGAGTCCACCAGCGGCAGACAGACGTGCACGAGGCATACTGTAGCTCTGCACGTCAGGAGGCGGTGTGAGTTATATGGATTCTTATGGTCGAAAAGAGCAGTGGAAGGACATGGGAGAAGTCCAACCGAAGGCATAACGTTTAGGCTTAAATGGGACAACTCATAACAAACAATTCTCCTCTCACACAGACAGTTCCTGCAGTGAGTCAAAAACAGAGAACAATTTATTCATAGGACTGGCATGGCTCTCTTTTATTCCTCCTGTGCCCTTTCAAATAGGAAAAAAAACCCCCCAAAGCATAGCATTCTAAAATATGAAACTTCTGTTTTGATTTTAGGAGCTGCCTAACACAGGAGACTGGCAACAACATAACAAGCTTCTCATCTGTACATCAACAGCTGTGCTTCATGTTTCATTAAATATATGAAGACTTGGGAAGCTCAAGTCCCTATGAAATGTATCCTCTGATGATTAAGCTTATTTTTAGCTTAGTTCACAAAGTACAGAAGACTTTCAGAAAACAAAGTAATGCAACCTTAGCACTACAAAACAACCTCTGACAAAACTATCAACAAAAAACCTAACTCTGTTGCCAAGAGAGGAACATCAAAATAAAGGTGTCTCATTCTAACTGTCGCACCCCTGAAAGACATGTGTGAGAGCATGGAAAGTGCACGCTGGTTTTGCAGTCCCTAGTCCCTCGTCGGGAGCTCAGGAGTGGTAGCAAACACTGGGCTCTTCAGAGCGCTGCAGAGGAGGGAGCTCCATGTTTTCAAAGACATTTAATGAAAAAAATGAGGCTGAAATAATTTCTCCTTAAAAATATCATTGCTAATTAGCCTAGAGTTTCCTTCCCCCACGTCATAAGATACGATGACGTACTCTTCTCCTTAGCACTCATTCATGTTCTCAGGAATAAGGGATCCATTATTATATTACTGTATAAGAACATACACATATACACTTTTCATAAATTCACCTAGAGAAGATACAGCCCGCTCTGTGTGAGCTGAAAACATTGCTGCCATCTCTTCTGCAATGAATATTTGTGTTTGCAGCAGCTAAGGCGCTCATGGGAAACAAAGGGCTCGCTCATTGTCCGCAGCAGAGTCCTCTCTCATCGCCCTGCCAGCGCTCCATCCATGCTCAGAGCCACTCTTGTCTTCAAAAGTACATTAGTCCATTGTTTTGCTTTAACACACTGGAGTGACCATCCTCTAGCATATTATTCTTTCTGCTTTTTGGCAGAGAGAAAGGAAAACATAACAAAATGCCCAAGATCACACTCAACATTTGAAGGAGAAAGGACAGCGTAACGCAACACCCCGAAGACAGCAGCGGCAGGGGATGAGCTGTTACTGCCACAACCCCAGGGAAGACTTGGCATGTGGACGTCTTACCAGAGGCAGCAAGAGACTTGGTCTTTCAAGGAGGGCGGGGTGGTCCTGCCAGGCAGCTGTGTCAGCTCAGCAGAGGGCTCTTTTATGTCATTGAACTTTAAAGGAACAAAATGCCACATTGAAAAGAAAATAACTAGTAAAATAGAATCAAAGTACCTTGGATAGTGCATGAAATGTGGTGAGAATTATTTTTTATGGTTTGGTATAAGCGATGGTCCATCTAAAGTATAACCTCTACTTATGTCAAATGAAATTGTCGTAATCAGGCTGCATTAAAACCAAAACAAAACAACAAAAAAACGAAACCAAAACAAAGGGAAAAAATCCCCAGAAAACACAAGTAAAAACACCCTGAGTTCCTTCTCAAGTATAAGTAACACCTTTGGAGTTATTTTTAGTTAAATCATTAGCCCCCAACCTTCAACCTGACATTTTGGGCACTTAACATGTCACCAGTCAGAAAAAAAGCTATAATTAAAACTTTCAGCCAATGAAACACGTAGGGCAACAGCATTATGTGTGAGACCACTCTGCAGCCTGACGACACAATCCATTATCTATGCAATACTGCTTCATCTTCTTGGAGCTTTTTCCCTGAATAAGTTACATAATTAGCTGATTTTAAAATTAAGACTACTTCTGAATGGAGAGAATATTTTAATTATGCTTTTACAAACAGAAATGAGGGAAAGCAAGCTAGGAGATGAGAAGGTGGAGGAGTCTCCTTGCACCTAAAGGTGGATAACGATCGCATCTTAGGATGCGGAACTACATTATGGTGATACAGTACTAAGCTGTTTAACCCCAGCAGACTGAAACAGACTGACTGGGAGCAGTTTACCATTCACGGAAACACAAAGCGTTACCTTCAGGCATCGGTCAGGACCACATTCAGCTTTTGCCATTTCTGAAGAGTGCAGAAGAATAAAGGAATGACTAAACCAAAATAAATCTTCAGTTTTAAGATGATAGGCCCAAACATTTCACAAGCTGAAATGTGAAATGATAGGCTGAGATTGCTTGTAGTAGCAGAGGACTTGATTCAGAAATCTTCCATATTCATTCCCTCAGGCCTGTATTTTAAGAGTCATGTGAGGGCAACACATTCTTGTATTCTTGTCAAATAAAACAACAGTAACACACTACGGAATATGTAACTGATAATTTAATATATCACAAAAATAATGCTGATGCCTAATTTTGAAAGGTAATATTCAGAGGCTGTATCCAAGCCATACACAACTCCACTTCTTATGACAAGTAATGGCCATAGAATGAGCAATAAATGTCACTAATTTTTCATATCAGAATTCTGGTAAAGCACAGAAAGAGATTTGTGCGTAGGCTGGTAAATTTTAAAGACAATTTTGCTTTACCTACGAAATTCTGTTGACAGGCAATACGTTTATGAGGAAATCCGCTGTCAGAGTGCCAGAACAGAATAGATGTAGATTTACCTAACTCCTGGAAGTTTGAAATTACAACCTACATTCCAGCAGGGGTTTTTTTATGCTTTGAAAAACCATTTAAAAATTCAACACTGAAGACAGCTTCTGCTCAAAGGAGGTTCAGCATCGGGGGAAGGAGGAAAAGAGAAAAAAAACAAAGAAGTACTACAAACTGACCTGAGATATCTTACATACAGAAAAGGGTTTTGCAGAATACAAATGAAATGACAATGCACAAGAAACCAGAAAGTGGGTTTTAAAAAAAAAAAAAAAAAATTCTTGTTTTCAAGACATGAAAAAAAACACCTTTGTTGAGGATGTGCATATATCTTAATGTAATACTTTTAATAGTATTGACTGCCACTAACTTCAAATTCTGCAT